TTTTTCAGGAGGCAACTGGACTTTCTTGTTTTTTCTTTTGAGGACATTTCACTTCTCATCCAAGAAGCTTCTTCAACTCTGACAGGATAGTGGGGAATGGAAGGATTTATATTCCTTGCAGGCAGCTGATCATTTGCATCCTTTTAGAGCAGGGGTCTGCCACCTTAAACACTCAAAGAGCCATTTGGACCCATTTCCCACAAAAAAGAATACACCAGGAGCCACAAAATCCTTGCCGTGCCTGACTATTTCTTGAGTGGCCACAAAACTAGCATATGTAGTTGAATTAAACGTTCTCTTTTCTTCTGAAACTATTCGTTTCTTGGATTTATCTATGGTTCGCCTACCAGGGGTTGAAAAGCTCAATAAATTGCGTGCCGGCGAGTGTCGCACATTGGCGGTTGTGACGCATATTTTGAGTGACAGGGAGCTGCAGCAGAGGGGTGAAAGAGCCACATACGGCTCCAGAGTCGCAGGTTGCTGACCCCTGTTTTAGAGGGTCGTTGAAGGGGGAAAAAAACTGCAGACTACAGGAACCAGGAGCACTACTCAGGTGACCCTGAGGACACAGATAAACCGCCAAGTGCTTCAAGGACCCTCTAAAAGGATGCAAACGACCAGCTGCCTGCAAGGAATATAAATCCTTCCATTCCCCACTATCCTGTCAGAACTGAAGAAGCTTCTTGGATGAGAAGTGAAACATCCTCAAAGAAAAAACAAGAAAGTCTAGTTGCCTCCAGAAAAAGCACCTTTGGGACAACCATGACCTGGATGACTGAGAATCTCTACAGACACAGAGAGAATCAAATATCAGAATCGTTCTCATTCCTTATGACTTGGGTTATTCCAAGAAGTTCTACTGTTCCAAAGAAGCCATGGTACAAGCATAAACTCTCATTTTATCTGAAAGCATAAGAAACCCATCCCTTATTATAAAATATGTTAATGGACCAACATTAAAGAGTAGCATTATTGCACTTACTGAAAGTGACATCTGATTCTACATGCCTAAACATAAGATATTCAGAAAGATTCCAAGGTACCCTAAGACAGGGGTCTCCAAACTTGGCAATTTTAAGACTTGTGGACTTCAGCTCCCAGAATTCCTCAGCCAGCAAAGCTGAGCCTTGATGGCGCAGCAGACTAAAGCACTGTTAAGTAACACCACATGTCTGCAATTACTGCAAGTTCAAATCTCACCAGGTTCAAGGTTGACTCAGCCTTCCATCCTTTCGAGGTAGGTAAAATGAGGATCCAGTTTGTGGGGGCAATAAGCTGACTTTGTATATAAAAAAAAAACACCGCTTGAGGGGGGCGAAAGCCCTACTAAGCAGGTATATACAAAAGTATGAAGGCTATTGCTTAATGCATTGTAAGCTGCCCTGAGTCTCCGGAAAAGGGCGGCATATAAATCGAACCAATAAAATAAATAATAAAGTTGCCAAGGTTGGAGACCCCTGCATTAGGATATGAAGGGATACCATCATTCCAGCAAGTTCCTTGCAGTCCATGAGGTTACTCAGTGGTCATGATTAGGGCACAAACCGGAACAGCCTAATGACCCCCACAAAGATGAAAGATCTCTGCAGATTGATGAAGAATCATCAGTTAACAATCCAAGCTAGTGTGAAAGCTATAAAAAGAGAGCTGAAGAAAGAAGTCCAAATTCCCATCTTCCGCTCCACTGAAGATCATCTCAAAGAACTCTCCTTGAACGTCTCTGTCCCTTTTGCCACTTGGCTAACAGCAAGAAATACTTCTTGGAACATGTCGTTTGTGTGACTGAGAGAGTGAAAGCGAGGTGCTTATACTGCTAAAATAAAACTTTTAAAATCAATCAATAGTCTCATGTTGGATGTTCAATGACTTTGCTCTTAAGTATGCGTAAGGACTCCTAGTTCCTTGACAGAGGACAAACTTCTTCGGAAACATTCGATTTCAGATTTTGTGGCTAAGGTGGCACAAAGACACTGAAGCCGTTGGCTTCCGTAGGAAGAAATAAAAATGGGCAAGATGGTGAGATTGGCAGTGCGTAGTCCAAACCCCGGCCCTTAATTTCATGCACTGATGTTGCAAAAGCATAGAAAGGGTCAGGGCATCAATTGTGCTACTCTGTCCACCATCTTGACTGTTTTGACCCTACCCACACACATGCTGCTACTACACTAATCACAAACCGCAGGTTGAAAAAACTAAGCTACTGTACATTTCCACAGGAAGAGGAATTTGAAAAATAGGACAAGGTCATCATATATGGAGAAGTGGGATTAAAATAAAGAGGTTGAAGTGACATTGGTTGATAAATTTGAAAAAGAGGAGATAGCTACAGAATGGGGAAGAAGATGATTCTGCTTTTCATTTTCCTGGTGGGTTATCCTGTTGGTTCCCACTTTCCCCAGAACACCTTCCCCATCTCAGTCTGTCTCTGAAAGATCAATAAAGTATAAATAAACTATGCCATGGATTATAACATTATCTTACAATTATAATACATCAGAAAGATCTTTCCTCCTTCCCAATCCCCTCTTTCTCTTTTTAACACAAGGATATTTAGCTTTGTTCTTACTTGACAAACTTGGTAATCATTTACTAAATTTTAGATGCTCAATTCTATGACTATTTGACAAGTTTTAAGTAGAAGAAACAATATCTTATTTTTCCCCCAATGTGGTTCACTATTGTTTAGGTAAAGAAACAGTAAAGTGGTCTGATACTTAAACCTCAGGCACACATGAAACTCAAATAACACAAACAGGAGTATCTTACATAATGTGGCATGCCTGATAGCATGGATTGTGTAAATTCATGAAAAATACCATGAACGTAGGAAAGATAAGATATTCCTGACGGTGGAACTGATTGATGACTCAAGCTACTTTGAACTGTAATATGGGCAGGAAATAAATTTGATGATGATGATGATGATAATTTGCCCGCAAGAATTGGTGGAACCATAAAGTCACAAGAAATGAAGCTAAAGTGCCTGAAACTTTAGAATTCAAACTGACAGGCAACTGCCACATAACAACCCAGATTTAACAATTGTTGATAAGACAAAAAAGAAATCCCAACGGAGGAAAATGTACTTTAAAAAATATTTGAATGTGCAGAAATCGATAAGACTAACACTGACAATTAAGGAAAAGGAGGAAACTGAATACTTTTTGACATGGGACCCGTTTTGTCAATGGTTGGCTAATAAAAACAGAAGTTAGAAATATGGAAATGTAAGAAAAAAACTAATGTTATAAGGGAGATTTGTTAAAATGGATAAGCAAATATTATTATTACAATGGAATTAATTTCAATGTAATGACTACTGCCGTAAACATTTTGATTATTATTTTCTAAGATTACATGTACCCAGACAACACAGTTCAATTGAAATTGAAATTTTTATATGTTATAAAATAAAATAAAAATTACCAAAAGACAAAAAAGTCTGGATAGTGGACATGACAGTACCTGGGGACAGCAGAATAGAAGAGAAAGAAGTGGAGGAGATAACAAAATACAAAGACCCACAAATAGTAATAGAAAAACTGTGGCAAAGGCAAGGAAGGGTAATACTAATAGTAATAGGCGCCTTGGGTGCAATCCCAAAACAACTGGAGCATCGCTTGAATATACCATCCATATTGACAAATTCATCATCAGTCAATTGCAAAAGGGAGCTTACCTCCATAAACGATACCTCTAATATCATCAAACATCAACCGAAGCAGGTATATACAAAAGTATGAAGGCTATTGCTTAATGCATTGTAAGCCTCCCCGAATCTCCAGAGAAGGGCGGCATATAAATCGAACTAATAAATAAATAAAAAAAATAAAAACTTCCACCTATCCCAGAGCCCTGGGAAAGATTCTATTGCAACAAAGCAAAATAATAAACAATGTGAGAGGGATATTCCCACAATTAAGGGTTGACTCACTGTAAATGTTAGGATAACTGGAAGAGCATTCCTAGAGGGCAGGAATGATTCCTAGAGGGCAGTTCAATTGACTGAACGAACCTGTAAAAAAAAATGTAAGCACCTCAGAAGTAGGACTCTATTTGCAAGGAACTGACTGGCTTGCCAGTAATTACAGAATACCTAGAAAAAGATTTGTGAAAGGCCGATTGGCTAATGGATCCAGTGAGTTGAATTGGTGTACTGTAGAGAAAAAGACTATGTCCTACATTCCAGGTTCAATATAACATAATTATGAATTCTCTCTCGTGAAAACCTCTGTCTCAATTTAGAAACACGTCATATCACAAAGCACTCACCTTATCAAGGTTAAACTCTTAACTCTCCCAGTTCCAGAGGTCATTCTTTCCTCCCTGGGAGGCAGTGGGGTATGTGTCACCTACATGTCTTCCTTCAGTGGCAGTAGAGGCATTTCAGTGTGTGTGTGTGTGTGTGTAAAGTCAACGTGGCAATATTCTGTCAACAATATATTATCCATCTGACAGAACATTATACTGTAGATGCTTAGGGGGTTCAAAAAAGCATCACTCCACACTCATATTACCCATAGTCTGTAAATGCACAATGTTTGGGTTGCCATAATACACAAAGCCAAACCAAGTAACTATGGTTTGCAGCCCACTATGAACCCAATATTAAATTGGGGTCTCGTGATAGTTTTCCATCATTTAATGAATATACAACTGCGTACGTTTGTCACAAAATACTAAGTCACAAAAAAATCACATGTTGCATAAACCTAGTGACTATGATTATTGACCAATGGCTTATGCCTTCACTTTTATGAATTCAGTCAATTCCTTTAAGGAAGTCCTTAAAAGAAAGTGTGGCTTAACACAATGCTTGAATTCAGCCACTGCAACCCTATGGATTTTTGGTTTAAAAGTGGCACTTTTAACATGAATGCTCTATTTAAAAAGTACAAAAAATGGCTAGTGTTTGGTAACTAAAGATCAAAGAATTTGATTTCAGTGAGGGCTGGAGACAAATCAGTATAGGAGATTACAAAACATTCTGCAAACACATCCACAGATAATTTCTACGTTTATTTTTATACCAAAAAAGTTATGTGCAACAAATAAACATTCTTACAATATTTACATGGTTTTAATTCCCCTGTTAGCAAAATTGAATTTCAATCTCAGAATGTCACAGTCCTATATTGAACCAAAAAATAAAAAAATAAGAATGGAATGACTCCAACCAAGATGGAGATGTTCTGGAGATTGAAGCACATCAAAAAGTTGTCAGATCAAACATACAAGACAGAACACACATTGAATATTTAGGCCATGCTTAATACATTTTTTTTTTTTAAAAATGGAAACTGAATACTTCATCTTTTTTTTTTACTAGTTTTACTAGGTCATGTTTAATTGGTCTTGAAGAAATCCAAGCAAATGTTTAATTTGTTTTGACCAATTTTTGTTCATACAGATCAGGAGATATTAACCTGCAAAAAGAAAATAATTTTTGACTTTTGTGTTGAATCAGGAAATTGTATTGAGCCCCTAAGTAATTATTTTCTTAAAGTTTCATCTAATTCTGAACTAGAGCCCACTCTGACATTTTCCTTAGAGTTGCCTTAGTAGAAATATTCCTCTTCCAAAGGTATAGATTTCTCTTGCTACTTCTCCTTGATTCCTCCTGAAAATCAAGTGACAGAAATCTTTCCTGGGAATGGCAATATTCTAGATCAGGGGTCTCCAAACTTGGCAACTTTAAGACTTGTGGACTTGCTGGCTGAGGAATTCTGGGAGTTGAAGTCCACAAGTCTTAAAGTTGCCAAGTTTGGAGACCCCTGATCTAGATGCAATGGAGCCATCTGCTTCATGGATACATTTTCTGGTATCTCAAGAAAGCCGTCATCCATTCAAAACTGCATTACAAGCACGAAGAACCACACTTACTCCCAGGTATGAAGATTTCTAAGAAATCTTAGAAAAGGGGCTTGTCTGACCTATGGAAACCTTGATTTCTTGGAAAAAGAGGTCAGGGCTCTTTCTTTCTTCTGAGCCATCAACTAGTGGGAGAGAAGTGGTAGATTTGGGGTGATGGTGATAGGGAGAATTAAATTGATCTTCAAGAAAACTACCTCCTGGGACACTGTTATTAAAAAAAAAAACCCTAAACTTTTTGTCACTGAAAAAGTTTCCCTCCTTCCTCGCTGGCATAAAATTAGAAGCAACTGAGATGAGACAGAACCAAAGAGCAGAGGCTCCTCGGCTTTCCAAATTAAAAGAAAGGAATTGGGAGCGGGAAATGCTGCATCTTCCATCATCCATATAGGTTTGGGAATATGGCCAAGCAACCTAGAAATATTGCCACCTTAAAGAGAACCAATTACCTTTATGGAAGAAGAGGGAAGGCAGCAGAGAGTCGACACACCTGCAGGGAGATTTGCCTACCACTTGCTTGCTGGAGGACTGGTAAATATTATAATGCACGAGCAGGGGAGGCTCCGGTGTGTTAAAAATATTGGCTTGCTTCTCACAGCCCAGCATTCAGGAGGACCAATTTTCCATTTGGACAGACAAAGGGTGCCTTACAGTCTCTACTTCAAAATCTTGTCTAGTTTGGCCCTTTTAGCCCAAAGTGTTGCAGCTGCCTAGGAATTCTGGAAGTTGGGAGAGGGGACATGTCTGAAGGGGACCTAATTGAGAACGACTCATCCAACACAAACTATGCTTCATAGACCGTTTAACACCACGGAATACTACTAAAATTGGGAGATGGGGGAGAAGGGTACAGAAGTCAGGATTTTGCTTAAAAGTACACAAGGTGACCGATACCTTCACACCTCTGTTCTTGAACAAGAAAAAAATAGAGTCAACATTTAAAAGGTATTGACTTAGAAAGAGAAATGAGCAGAACAGGTAACTTTTCAGCAGAGGGAAAAAATGGGGTCTGCTTGCACTCCCGCCCAAGGAATTGGGGGGAGAGGGGAAGTCCTAGGAAGAAAACTACAACTTCCTTGTACCCCCTATAACTGACACTGGTGTATAGGCAACTATGCAATTTTATGAGCTGTGGACTTCAACTCCTAGAATTTCAGAGCCTGACTCAGGAATTCTGGGAGTTGAAGTCCACAGGTCGTGAAGTTGCCATATTTGCCCACCCTGGTATAGATAATGGAAATCTCTACTTAGAAAGATAGAAAAGCCCCATCTCATCTGCAGACATGTAAAAAAATAAAGCCTCACACTATGTTACATTAATGTCTTAAAATAAAATTTTATCAGTGAGGGTATAAACTTGAAAATATTCTCCACATACCAAATGTAACAAAAATTGTAAATTATACTCCCCCCATCAGCTCTAATTTCAAAATTCAAGACAAGCTTTAACTGTACTCTGGTTAATACAAAATGCATTTCTGAGAAACTCTTTGACAAGGACAACAAGCAGAATTTAGTGTTTTCTTTTTAATACATATATACATACATATATATATATATATAAACCATAAACACCTGTCTTCCTCCATTAGACTTGCGTTCCACCATAGTTCTGTACATAAACCAACTGGACTGTTCATTTGGCAGGCATTTAAATACTGTCGGACATCCCATCTTCAGCAGATGCTGCTCCCATTGGAAAATAAAATCCTGCACTTTTACAAAACGTTAAACAGAATTGCATTTATACCTTAATGCTGATTTTTCTTTAAAGAAAATGACACAAAAAATGAGGACCCTTTACACACTCAGAAAGAGGAAAGAGTTTAGACGCAGACTGGAATTTTAAAAGGGAGCTTTTCGGGAAGATCACTTTTCTTGGGCATAAGCAGGAGCAAGCATCGATGGTAAGAAAATAACAGGATTCAAGTTATTGGCAACAATGCCCTTTGTTGTATTCTGGATATATTCTGGCCTGACCTGATCTTTTTAGTTAGCTTATTACGACCCAAGTACACGGCTCTCTCTGCTATAATAGACGCCAAAATTGCTTTCTACCCTTAATACAAGTCTTCCAAATGTGTTCATCATGTGAGCAGAAGAACTGTCTTAATGATCTCAAGGAGCCCAACTGGTGAATACGCATCACAAGAAGCCACTGGCAGATTGCATTTTGCTTCCAAAAGTTGCTTCAGTCACTGAGCACACCTTTTCGATCCTACCAATCCTGTAACTCATTCATTCTCCGGAAGCTTCTGGTACCTTCTTGCACTCCAATGATAAACAGGCCTCTGCAACAGGTTCCTCGGTCTGCCACTGCGGGAAGAAACACGGCAATCTTGCTAAGGAGTAGCTCTTCTGGTTTGCTTGGAACAGTTTATGGCCCAGCTGTCATATAAGAAACTGCAATGGTCCTCCTCGGCTTCCTTGTCATACTGAGGCATACTGAGAGACTCCTGAGTAAACAAAGCCCTAAATCTAATTATAGCAGACAAAATTTTATGTTCTGAGAAAAAAAAACATGTCTTTCTAAAGTTCTCCAGCAGGAAAAGCAGAAGCCAGCATGGACAGCAGAGCTCAAAGCTGTCCCAATCAGGTCAACATCCTGCCTCTCAAAAAATACCCCCAACCTCCAGCTATGTCCTACAAGGAACCGTTTATGATGCCAGAGTGCCTGGGTATGAGAAGCCCGAGGGATCACCTTCTACATACTGCAAAGATCTGATTCATCAAAAACATATTTTTGTGCAAGAACCCTTCTGCCTGGCAATTTCAAACACCCCCAATATTTGGTTTGTAAGACAGAAGGCACTTTTTTTAAAAAAACACTGCATTTTAGGACAATATGAATGGGAAATTATTTCAACTTGCTCTTTCAAGTAGAACCATGACTGAATCTTGGGCCAATTCTGTTTACCATCTATTTCCTTTACTCTAACTTGAGGGGGGCGGGGAGGGAGTCAATGTACATCTCCCTAAGCCTTAGGCAAATTTGTATATAGGAATTTGAAATTGCTCTGCCTCTAAAGATATAAATCTATTTATGTCCATAATCTGGGTTTCCTATACAAACTTCACTAAATGAAGGGGAATTTCTCAGGAACATCGAAGCACCCTTCATTGACATTTCTTTATACATCCCCCTCTTGACTTCTGTGGAACTTATATACAAAAGAGCTCGCGGAGGGACTGCATCCTAATTCTTCAGTGCATTCGTTTACCCAGTGGGTTACTGGGATCCAGTGTCTAGTTGTAATTCTATACAGCAGCTAGAAATATTATAATCAAATTGGTTAACACTATTTGGCTATCTCACATCTTCTGAAGTACACAGCCAATTCTGCCCCTCAAACTCCATTTGTATAGGCTTCCTACTGATGAGGTGTGGGCAACTCAAGATGCCCCATTCCCCTTTGTTAAGCATCCCCAGACAAAGATTGTTTCCATCCACAGCAAACTGTTTGGATGTTGCAAGGAAACCCAATTTAATTCAGGTTTTTTGTTTTGTTTTGTTTTAATGCCATTGAATTCCTTTTCTTTAGACATATCCTGGGGAAAAAAGGCATCTCGGCAAAGATCTTTTGTTGCAAATCTTCTCCAGGGAAACAAACTAATTTCAATTTCCTTTTTTAAAAAAAAAATCTCAATAACACAATGAACCGTTCTTCAAAGTTATGCTTCAAGTCATCACTCAGCTGAGCTGTACTGACCTTCTTTCTTTGCCAGGACATAGCCAGTCTTTTCTTCCACTATGCACCAAGTTGTGGTAAGTGTTTTAGTTGCATCTATGTGGTCAAATTCCCTTGGCTACCAATACACATAATGTAAACAGGGCGATGTTTCCCTATGGTACCTATAAAGTCTAGAATAATCATGATCTCCCAGTTAAGACTTCCCCCACCTCAATTCATACTGAGATGGGAGACTTCCTACAGCTTACCTGGAATATTTGGGGAAAGGTAAAGAAGGAGTAAAGAATATGCCTCTGTGAACTCCTTCAAAGTAGAGTTAAAGCTTGTCTCTGATCAGGTTAAGACTTTCACAAACAGTTCCTCACCATAGCTATTGACTGAGAAGTTACCCAGGGCCCCTATCCTTCGAGTCACTCTAACTGAATTAGCTATGATTCCTGGGGAAAGCAAGTGATATGAATAATATTTTTTTAAAAAAAATCTTTTTACTGTGAAATAAACATAAATGGAAGCCGGGCCTTCAAACTGTCAGTCAAAAGTTTGCAAAGCAGTTAATCCTGTTTAGGTGGGAGCTGCCGTTTCCAGGCCTCGTTCAAGTATACTAGTCGTTTGTAGTTGATGATCAAGAGAACGAAGTTCAGCAAGTATGTGATAACACAGACAACGCAGAATTCCTTCAGCACAAAGTACAGAATGTAAGACAGGTACAAAGATCCTATTACTGACACTATGGAGGACATCATGAGGACCAGCGCTGCTACTGCACTTGCTGTCATACCTAGAAGAAGAAGACAAGCAGTTACTGTGGTGGCTTCCTTTCGTTATAAGCAGTTGTCGATCAACAAGAACTCAAGTCAAGGGGCTAGAAGTGCAAATGCAGTGAAACCTGCCTGGTGCCATTTCAAAGTCTTGTTAGATCAATCAAGGAGGAGGTTTCTCCTCAACTGGAAGGCTTAAGAACAAATTAGTAAAAGGCTGCTTACTGCATGCTGATGTGAAGGGAACAAGCAATGCCTTTTTTCACAGAATTATAAGACTGGAAAGGGCCAAAGACCTTGCCCCATTGCCAGAATTCATTGTGTGGCATTCCAAACTAATGACTGTCCGGTCTCCACATGAGCACATCCATTGAAAAGGAGCCCACCAGTTCTCCAGATAGCTGATTCCACTTGCAAAGTATTTCTAAAATGCTGCAAACACCTACAACATCTAATTTATGGATAATTGTTAAGATACAGCTTAGACACAGCTCAGTTCAGTAACTGAGGAGCAGAATTTATGAGAAATTTAGAATACATGCATAAGAAGAGGTTTATCCATTGCTGTTCATAATCCTGATTAAATGGCATTTACAAATTTAGAGGCAGACCGATTCTACTTTTCTGTTGCTAAAATGGAAGAGAATGGGGTTCTCTTGCCCTGACCATGGACTCTCCCAGTCCCATCTGACTGCCCACTGTAGAAAACAATCCACTCACTTAGGAGGATCACATGCTTTGGATCCAGCACTTATGACTGATGGTTAGTATCAGAAATGCCAAGCAAGCGGATATCCATCTCTCCCACCACCTTAAATAAACAGTACACATTCCTCCTTTTAACAGATAAATTCCCAATTATTCAGGAGTTTCTAGACTGAACTATAACTTCAGGTTCTCATTAGTTTATATGTTAGCAGACCCATTAAATACAGTCTAGAAGAAAAAGTGCCAGGATTTTCAGCCCACTGATTTTAAGAACTGAAGAAACATACAGCTGCTTGCCTAGCTCTTCTGGAACTGTTAATACAATGTTGTGTGGGCATTAAGCACGACCCATAATTAACTGCAATTCAAATCTCAGTTTGCAAAACCTTACCTTGCAGTTAATTTTGCAAAGCGTTAAAATTTCCCAAGTTTATTTTTGAAAAAAAAAAAAAAAAAGAAGAGAAGGGAAGGGAAGGGAAGGGGCGAATTTGCAGGCTGGAGAAGCAGCAGAAAACTGGGGACAGGAGAGGAAGAAGACTGCATGAGACCCTGGAGAGTTCCACATTCTCTTAACTGCCTCCAGGAAATGAAGCAACATTATGACTGGGCTCAGAAAATGTAATTAAGCCATACATTAAATTAAAATAAAATAAATAAAATAAAATATGCAAGCCGTCTAGAGTCGCCATATAGGGCAGGTGGTAGCATAAAATTTTATTAAATGAATAAAATTATATAATAAATGGTTGTTTTACTATAATATAGTATGGGAACCTAGATACTGTGGTATATACATATACACACTACAGTGAGGTGATATGTGAGCAATCCGTGATAATTGGTCAACAAACAATGGCTTAGCATAAAGTATGAAATCTAGTCTTCACACAAATTATGAAATACTCTCTTCATTATATTACCCTGTTTCCCCTAAAATAAGACAATAAGATAATAAGCCCAATCAGGCTTTTGAGCGCATGCGATAAAATAAGCCCCCCCCAAAAAATAAGCCCTCCCCAAAAATATTTAACCGCATGCACAGCCGGTCCCCCCATTTCCTCTGGTTAGGGTTAGGGAGATAGAGCTGGAAATCAGGTAAGACAGCAAGAGGAGCCCCATCTTGCTCCACACGCCCCAAAGTAATAAGACATCCCCCTAAGTAAGGCCAGCACTTATTTCGGGTTTCAAAAAAATATAAAACAGGGTCTTATTTTCAGGGAAACATGGTAAATATGCATTTTCATAATGTCTGCTCAGTTACAAAACATGTCTGCCCCTCTTTGAAGATCCAAAAGTTACTTCATAATGGAACTAGAAAACTGGTCAAGAGGTTGAAGCAGAGGATCTAGGACTCCTGCAGGAAATTCATGCACACTCACTGCGGGTACAGGTCCCGTGTCTCAGGTGAAGAAGATGATGCACAAGTCATCCCTATATTGTTTTACACAGCAATAATGTCATGCATGGCATTTTTCTAGGGCATGCAAACAGAGAATGGATCCTGGCCCCACAACCTGAAGTCTTGATAGTAGGGAGAGTAGAAGAGAGGGAGTGGGAGGATGAAAGAGGCAAGGGTGGGACACGGGTGAACAGGAGCAGACACTGTTACACACACCTGCAAATACACTCACAAAAACAGCTTTGTGTATAATGCATCATGATTACCTGTGTATAATTAGTTAAAAATAATTATTCAGGTTTTGGGGGAAAGAGATGAGTTTATTTTTATTAGAATTTTCCAATCTGGTTGTTTGGAGGGAATTTTTCTTTGCCATCATCTACAAGCAACTAAAGCAATGGCTATTTGCAAAAGTCTGGCCTGGATCTAAAGGAAGGAGTAGACATGCCATGGAGAAGATTGGGAAGGGAATTCTAGCTATCATAGATAACGGAAGGAGGTAAAGAGGAATCTGATTATCATCCCCAGTTCTCCAATGTTGATTCCCCCCTCCCGCCAGCAAAAAAAAAACACCCTGCTTTGAAATCCCTGGGAATTAACAATCTTTTCCAGTTTTGCTTTAGGATCTGCAGGCACTGCTGAGAGGACTGTGAACGTGACTTAGACATCACATTTGTCAAGCAGGCATGAATTAAATGGGAGATTAGTGAAGCACATGCTACAATTGTTAGGACTCAATACATATTGTACAAGATTTTGATTACTAGACTGAAATAATCGCCCACAAAAAAATTATATCCTGCCTTTTTGCCTAGAGGAGCAAAAAATAAGGAAGAGGTAGGTGGGAGTGAGAGATGATAGTCTGCTACTTACCAAGCAACATTTGCAGTATATAGAATACAAGACCGAAAACGCTGTTTGGTTGATTTATTGCACTGTCTTTTCCAAAAATGGAGCCTAGTAGGCCAAATCCTCGACCCCATCTGAAAGAAAACAGTCCATTAAGTCTTAAGTGGTAAGCACTTGCTTTAATAAAAATACAAATCTATACAAAGAACGCACTTATGTACCCCCATTCACTATGAACAAGTCAGGTAATAAATATATAGCATTATAGGATGGATGGATGGATGGATAGTGTTCCCTGCTAATTTATTGAACAACATTCAGATTATGCTAAATTTTGATTACAAACTGTGGTTTACCAAACAATCCACAATATATAATACAACTCAATAATAAGCTACATTTATTAAAGCTACTGTAATAAATGGTTATTAAAGCTACTAAAACTCGCTAATCTAAAACAAAACAGACATGCTAGTGTGATGCGTGAGCCCTAATCCATCACAAACAAGCTGCTACCCATTACCCAACTAAGCACTACCTTTAGCAGTGCAGATCCTCTCTACTGACCATTCTGAATAATGCAAATCCATCACCACCAATGCAAAGCAGAAGAAAAATCTATGCAAATTTCATTTCAAATAGTAACTATCACAGTTACTCAGGATAATAAGGGATTTTTGTTGTTGAGCTGAGTTTTGTTTTGGTTTGATTTGGGGGGGGGGGTTGCCTTCAAGTCAACTTAGGGATTAGTCTCTACGTGGATTTTTTTTTTTTTTCGGGTGTGGGGCAAAATTTCAGAAGTATTTTGCCCTTGCCTTCTTCCTATGGCTGAGAGAGAGTGAGTGACCCAAAGTCACACAGTTGGCTTTGTGTTTAAAGTGGGACTAGAACTCACAGTCTCCCAGTTTCTAGTCGGAGTGCCTTAACCATTACATCAACTACAGTTCTTAAAATAAAATTTAAAATGCCTGGCTGTAGAGTACTTTTCACTTTCCGTCACAACATTTCCTATACCCATGCAGTAAACAGACTCATAATGGGACTCCGTATGTGACTCAGCAGGCACTCCCCACCTCCCCCAGCCCAGGAAGCTTAAATCAGAATACAGGTGAAAAGCAATAATCTGCAAAACTGAATACAGACATAAATGAATCATCTGCTTATATCAGCCTGAACCCTGTTGAAATATGACTAACTTCCAGATAGGCTAAGCATATTTCTACATTTCTGAAATAGAGAGCCAAATGGGTGGGGAAGATATGGGTTGAACGCAGGTGTGCCTGTTTTTAATGCAGAAGGCATCAGGTGTTTTAAAAGCGTTATCACAATTTTTAAAAAAGAGAAATACAGAAAAATATACAAATTAAAAGAAAAGTGTTGAATCCAATGATTAAATGACAGATAAAGAATCCTGAGCATTAATATACTAAATTAATATAAATCATCTAAATATATATTTACAGTAATCATACAATTAACATTATGTCAAATCATGCAAAGAATTGTGTCCCTTCTTCTAAGATACTTTTATAAGAAAGAACTGGGTTTAAGTCTTAGCATTTCAACTTAAATAGGGCTTAAGAAATGCTGTGTTTTAGGAGCCTGGGGATCCTTATGTGAAGAGGTTTGCCCACTTTTAAAACAGTTGGAGATTTTGCTTATAAAGTTTTTCAATAATTTGTGGAACTGCATAGAAAGAGTCTCTAGAGACCATATTATGGTTTAGTGCAAAGTGTCATTCTGTTCTATTCTATTCTATTCTATTCTATTCTATTCTATTCTATTCTATTCTAAATTGAATATTGTACATTCAGAATCAGTATACAAAAACTGCTATCTGTTCAGAGACCAGAAAAACCGGTTAAATAGTCCCAAATCACACCTCTAGATTAAGAAGTAGTGCATATCTGATGGGGAAAAAAACCAGTTAGACTGGTAATTTTTAACTAAGCCCTACTCTGGAGTCATTTTTAATGAATGAAAAGGGGCAATGAGAAAAGGCAAATTGGTTTAAACATGCCAACTTTAAAATATTACTCCAAAAAGTTTGCGTTACTGGTTAATTCAGTTATTGCATTCATCGCCTACACTGTGTGAATGAGTCTAAGCCACCTGAGCCCTGAAACATGGGGCTTGTGACCCAATTCAATGAACCTTTTAAAGAAATGCACAAATACTGGCAACTTGGCATTAATCATGCATTGGGTGTGCAATATATATATATATACACCCATGTAAGAGAGAGCCCACAGTTCTGAACTTTATCACACTTTGTCTTATCCTTGACTGTTGGCATAAGAGTTTGACTGCTCAAGACAACAATGCAAAATGCTACATATTGCTGTGCCCACACTACCTTTTGCTTGAAAACAGAATATTAATATTGATTTTTAAATTAGTGCAACTTTTTAGAACAGTTGGGGACAACCATTAGTAAGCAACTGCCAACCATAAAATATAAGTCAGATTGCTCGTTGGTAAACAGCTTTCACCTGACTAAAAACGTGAACTGCAAAATAACTGTGCCATCCATCTATTCTCTGCTCTCTTCCACCCCATCCTAGGAATTAAAAAGATGCTAGTGAAGTAACGCATGTTTTATGTATAAGAGGCACGCTTTGATCCTGGCATCTCCAAGGAGAACAATTGCAGATGGGAGGAATAGATGGTACATTGAATAGGGACACTGTTTAGCTGTGCAGAATGGGTTGCAGTAATGTAGCTAACAAATTCATTAGTAATGGCTTAGCATGTTGGCTTAATTTAGCCATCTGGGGCTGATTCAATAAATCATGATTAAATAACACACAACTCAAATGGTACTATGGCTATACTCAGTGGGAATTATGGAACTTTAATACAAAACTTCAGAAGGGCAGCAGATTTACAAGAGGCTGGGCAAAGAATAACGGGTGGAGAGATCTAATTGCCAAATATATGATAAGGTAAGTTCTATACTTATGTAGTATATTTATTTGATATATATTACATATCTTTTCTACGGTATTTAGTTACATTTGTATACTGCCTGACTCCCAGAAACACTACATAGTTCACAAAGCAGAAAAAAAACCCACACAATAGTAAAAATAAGGAAAATGATGACACAAAATGCAGTAGCAAAGCACACCCATTCCTTGAAACGGCTTCCCCCATCCTAGCCAAAGGCCTTCTGAAACACAAGCAGTTTGAGCCCACTTAGATGTTTGGAGAAACCTCACTCCAAAGAGAAGGAATTAGATGTAGCCAAATTTATATAATCCAACTATATCGAGATTGTTCATCAGTCCTACTCAAAGAAAATTCATGGGTACTATTCAAGAGAGCAAATTAATTGCCTTTAGGCCATGTAAGTAAAGATTTTTTTTTACAAAAGCTTCTATTTCAAGCCAAAGCATATTAACACAAACATTTTATAGTACTGATAATGGATTGATTTAACATCTAAGTGAAATTTTCCCAATGGTTTAGGTACATTAAAATTAAGGTCTTGTGGTTTGATTTCTGAGTAGGCCTCTGTGATTGAATTGTGAAAGGGGTTAGGTATATGCATTAATAGAGATAGCAATGCTCTTAACAGCTTTCAATGTCCATGGTAAAAAAATTGGAGTTGAAGTGAGGAATTGTAGTGAAATGTCAACTTCTGGTCCAAAAAAACTCACATCATCATTTGAGTCCAATTCTTTTATGCAAACTTCCAGGCAACTGCCAATTAATAAAGCCTTTTCAGACTTCTGCCTGGATAACTTCAATTAAATTCAGAAATATGAATTACTTCATGCACATATCCTGGATATAACAACCACTGTTAAAATATTATTTTTCTCCATTTGAATGTATTTTAATAAATGTTTATATTATTTTTAACTGAGTTGAATTACAGGAGAATTTCTAGATTCCTCAGTAGGTTTATGGAGAGCAAAAACATATCCAAAATTTGGAGAAAGTGAGCAGACATTCAGTGGAACAAGGAGAGTACAGAATTAGAAAAATACTATTTGATGAAACAAGCAAATGAGCTTCCCGGTTTTTTTTGTTTGAACAGCCTACCTCAACATTACAACCACCAGATGTGTTTGACTACATTGTTCACATTTCCTAACTGTTCCACTAGAATATTCACAAAGTAGCTGAACAAACAAAACTGTGGCCCAACTCATTAGAAAATGTATATTTGAAACTTGGTAATAGGTATGCAAATAATGCATACATTTTGTCAATGCTATGAAGATAACAAACATCAGCCTGACTATAACCTAACAGAGAATTGATGAGGAGATGAATATGCACCTATTGTTACTATTACTAGTACACTTGGTCACACAGTCAGCCAGATGTTTAGACTAGATTTGACATTTTTATCCACCATCACCTACCGAATCCTTCCTCATGACCTAGATAGGCAGCTTTTGTTCTTTAACAATATTAAAGGCACTGTCGTAAGATGTAAGCTGTTCCAAGTAAACCTCCCTTTTGCAATTGACTGGTGGTTATTTTGTCAATACCAATGGTGTTCAAATAGTGTTCCAGATCTTTTGGGATTGCACCCAAGAAATCCATTACTATTGGTACTATCTTTGTTTTCTTTTGCCATATCCACAATCCAGACTTTTTGGTTTATCTTACCGATAATTGCTAAGTCTCGAGTGTTGTGTGGCAGGTGCTTGTTTGAATTCTAAACTCCCAGAGAACTTTAGCTTCATCATTTTCTATTACTTTCTATTATTTTGTGGCCCCACCGGTTCTTGCTTGCAGGCAAATGATATTTCTTGCAAATATTCCAATGAAGCATTGTTGCTACTTTGTCACACTGTTGTTTATAGTCGTCAGTCTGTGCAATCTTTCTGGAGCAGCTAATTAGTGCGTCCACTGATTCTTCCACTTTTTATTCTTGTCTTTGAATCAGTGTTGATTCAAATGACTGTCTGGAAAATCCCTGAAATTTTCTTGGCAAAATTTTGGAAGTGGCTTGCCAGTGTTTTCTTCCTATGGTTGAGAGAAAGTGACTGGCCCAAGGTTATCCAACTGGTTTTGTGCCCAAGGCAGGACTAAAACTCACAATCTCCCAGTTCCTAGAGCAGTGACGGCGAATTTATGGCAGGTGTGCCAGAGGTGGCACTCAGCGCCCTCTCTG